AAAAAAAAAAAAAAAAAAAAAAAAAAAGGATATGTTTTATAGTTAGTTTATTTATAAAATTTAAGATTGACTAAAGATGAATAATTAATGATGCAAAATAGCAAAACTCAAATGTCTCCAAAGGGTTTACTGAAAATTATATTTTGGCATGTGAATTTTGGTAAAAATCTAGAAACAAGTCATACTCATAGCAATATAGGGTAATACATGTAATTCATTTTTTGTGTGTGAATGTTTATTAAAATATTCATTAGGGTGATGGTTCTTATTTTGTTGGTACCTACTCTGTTTTCAATTTTGCACCAGGGCAATGGCTGAGTTAGAGAGGACGTGACTGGTTTTCAAACAGATGGTAAACTTGAGAAGTTATAACATAAAGATGACCGCACAACATACGTTTATGTAACTTATTTCTGAGACTATAATATTTGTGTAAATGCTTTAATCATTTACACAATGCTTGAAGAAAGAGGTGAAGATGCAGGCCCCAAAATGCATGTAGGATTTAGACAGAAGAAAAGGAGAAGGGAGTAGCATATATGTTATAGCACAGAGTTTGGGTGGTACAGATGCTCATTAACCTGGAGGTCAGTTCTTCATTGTCAAACAATAACACTCAGAATCACGTTTGACCAACTGGGTTTTGCTTATTCCATTATAAGATAAATGTAATTTTGTATGATGTATACTGTTATGACCGTTTAAAAATTCTTCCTCAAAACTTTTACTCATTGTATACTTTGACTACTAAATATGGCAGGATTTTAAACAGGTCATTGAGCTCCTCTTTACAGGGTATCTTTTTATGGTCTCCAGGATATTTCAATTTTTTTTTCCTTTCCATCACCAGAAAGGACCACAAGTGCTGGAACAATTACACCTAAAATTTCTAAAAGCCCTGAACCTACATGGACAACACCGGGTAATAATGATATGTCCTTAGTGGACATGTTGCTTCATTTCACCGTGGAAAATCTAGCACCCCAGCTTTTATGTAATGTCTATTAGCTATTAAGATGGTCAAAATGGCTCATTGGAACAGTAGGGCCCATCTCATAGGGGATACCAACTCAGCTGTTGTGCTTGTGGCTGGCTGACCCACAGTTAATAGATCTGAACTCAGCCTTCAGATGTCATTCTGGGCCAGCTTTTGAACCATTGCTGCTTCCTTGTCATCTATCCAGTCATTGTATTTGAAGCTGAATCTTGTATATAGTGCTCTTTTTCTTTTTAGTAACACTCTCAAGTTCAACTTTAGACTTCATTTGGAAAAGCAACTTTTAATTTAATGCTGGTAGAATTACTTTATGCTTCAGATCATAGCATTATACCTATTGGTGAATATTTTTTGAGAGTAATTTTTTGTTAAAATGTGTTTAGGTAGACAGGCTCAAAGTGACAGATTTTGGAAACATTAGGAGAAAAAACTCCACTATCCTAAAATTATACGCAGGGCATTTACGTTTATTGGTGTATCTTTAAAAGAAATGTACATCAGTTATTGGTTTGGATGAATTTAGATTTTTTTTCCTTTTTAGTTTATAAGACTGATAAAAATATAGCAGGTCTTAATACCTAGGTGAGTGGTTGATAGGTGCAGCAAACCACCATGGCACAAGTTTACCTGTGTAACAAACCTGCACGTATATTGGTAAATATTAATTGTAAAACATGGTGGGCTTTTTTTTTCATGGTGCTCAGACTTAGATGTGGTTGAGCAACGTAAAGTAAGGGTGCAAAATAATTAGACTGATTTTTAAAAATCATAGATTAAAAGAACTGTCTTTACTTTGAATAATTATTGTGACTAGTAGCAATGCTATTTTTGTTAGTTAAATATATTCTTGAAATGTTTTTTCTAAACAAGATGAAAATTAACTACTTTTCTGTGAATGGATAATGAAATATTCTTTTAATGGAGTATTTCCAAAATCTTCCAAGACATTGGGTTCATTCCACTTAATGTATAGTTTATTTCTAGGTTTTACTTCTGTGGTTTTAGACGCTGAAATGGCTAAATATTGATTTATTTATTATTTTGTTTCTTTATTTTTCCAGCTCCCAGTAAAACACAGTCTATTTCTTTGAAACCTAAAATCCCTCTCAGCCCAGAAGTGACACACACCAAACCTGGTAATTACCCTAAACTTTTTTGAATATTCCACAAATGGGGTCAAGTTTTATGCAGTTCTTTGGAGCAGGAATTTCTGGTTTGTATTTTGAAATTTGTTACATTTTTCCATGTAAAGTGAAAACATGCAATGAAATGATCTCATCATAAACAGCCACAGTGATATCACAGCATTGCTCTGAGCACTGTGGTGGATTATTATATTCATGATCACCACAGAGAAAACACAGAAATGTAATGAAGTGAATGACTGAGCCTAGTACTGCAAAATAGTTTCCAATACCAATGTTGACTGGAATTCTAATCATATAAACAATAGCCTTTCAGCTGGAAACAAGATAAGTGTTTCTGTCTTCTAAGAACTCTGCATTATTTTAGAGCTTCTCAGTTCTCATGCTAGAAGACCAGAAAGACCCGTATTTTTCTAACGATCCAAGACTTCTGAATTGGTGCTGATTTCTGAACACTGACATCTGTTTACCTCTTAGGAATTTTTAGTGGTGTTTTCCTTTTAAAAAAAAAAACAACTGCTTTTGCAGGAAGGGATCATTCTATATATATAATATAAGACAGAAAGATGTGGAGTGGCTGGGCGCGGTGGCTCACACCTGTAATCCCAGCACTTTGGAAGGCCGAGGCAGGCGGATCATGAGGTCAGGAGTTTGAGACCAGCCTGGCCAACATGGTGAAACCCCGTCTCTATTAAAATACAAAAATTAGCCGGATGGGGTGGTGCATGCCTGTAATCCCAGCTACTCAGGAAACTGAGGCAGGAGAATTGTTTGAACCCAGAAGGTGGAAGTTGCAGTGAGCCGAGACCGCACCATTGTACACCAGCCTAGGCAACAGAGTAACACTCCACTCAAAAAGAAAAAAAAAATTGTGGAATATATTGAATGACCAAATCTTGGAGTTTTCTATCTATCTATAATTCATATAGCAGTCTTAAATGTTGACTTATAAGATTGACTACAGGGAACTTGTCACCACTGAGTGTCATCATTATCTAAACGTTAAACCCTTACCACAGGAAGGAAAATATTTCTCACTATATTGTTTAATGGATTTTGAGCTTGCATTTCCATTAATGGCATGTTTACAAAGTAGGATTATTAAAGCAAGAGATTTTCTGCTAAAGTGGGCATGATTTATTTTTGCAATGAAATGGCTAAGGAAGAAAAACGTAACTGCTCAAAGAAAGAATCCTCATTACTCCCTGTAAAGAAGCAGTAAGATTTCCAGGTGTAGGTGCAGACTGAAGGAAATTGGGGATTAGGCAAAGGGAGTGTAGTTGACACTGTGACCATTGATGAGGTCCCCAAGTCAGAGAAATGGAATGAAAAACTCCCACTCAGAGAGGTTTTTTGGGGGAAGCAGTATAGCTAGTAAAACTCAAAGCCTTAATAGTGGTTTAAATCAAACAACTCTGACAGCTGTATGAGAGAAGGGTTTAATATACACTTATTTAAAAACCATGCTTAGAGAGCTTTGGGATAAAGTAGTAACTAGGCTGTATTTTGAACAGAGGGCTATTACCAAGCAGATCATGAAATAGTACTGTTTGTTTGAGTCACCAAACTTAAGCATTTGTCTCTAAGTAATTATTTCTGTTATTAAAACATAAAATTGAAACACATCAAAAATGCTCCAAATGTTGGTTACAGTTTATATATGATAGGTTACATTGTTCGTTTCAGTGGTTTCTAAGAAAAGATTTCTGAGAAGGAATTAATTAATACAGATGAGGAAGGGTATATTCTTACCATTCTACGGTGTTTGAGGAAAAAGATCTTAATTTGACATTTCCTTTTAAAATAGGAAGAATTACTTTGAGGCTAATGTGTTTACATTCCTTTGATTTCTAAACCTTTTAATCGTCAAAGAAAATCCACCCTTCTTCCTCTAACAGCAGTGTAATGACTTCAGAATCCACACCCAGACCTGTGCCAACTCAAGTGGACCTAGAGCGGTCCATAGCAACACAGGATGACGACTGGATCTCTGCAAACCATTGCTTTCGCTTGAGATTCTTACATTTTATTTTATTTATTTTGATTTAGGGCAGACCACCTTTGTAGCTCTCCTAAAGATGCCTGTTTCTAGCCAAGGTTCAGAAGAGCAAATAAACCACCCAAAGCTTTTCCAGGCCTCTCCCGGGGCTCTCCTCACCCTCTTCTATTTTTCTGTTTCACTTTCCATTACAGGCTGCTTTTCCTTTGGCTTTGCTTGGTGGTTCAGTCAACGAGGAAAAATCCACATTGATTTGGGCTTGTTTTATAAACACGATTCAGTGCATTTCTCAAAAACCACAGCCACCTACTATGTCTTAACTTGTCTACCTCATCCAATGGGAATTGTTTCCTTCATGGTTTAATCTTTAATCTTCTAATGGACTGAAAATAAGGGAGTGCCCCCCAGTTACAGGTGTTTGCTTCAGGTAACTGTCTTCCAAGGTGGATAGAATTGTAAGTTGCTCTCATTCCTCCCCACGCATGTGAGTCAAAGTTGTCTTTGTTTTGTGTGGAGATGAGTGACTTAGTCATGTACAGACCACTCAGCTTTGTTATGGAAAATTTTGTAGCTTTACCCATAACTCCTTGTGATTATCAAATAGAAGAAGTCTTGTCAGAAGAGATATTCATTTTTACTAAACATAGACGTTTATGTGCCATTGACTTTGAAGCTTAATTGATGGAATGAGTTGTATGCCAATTTGGTTTCAAACTCCATCAGGAACTCAAAAAGGCAGATTTTTCCTTAGAATTTTAAAAGGGACAATCTTTAATTTTTGTGAAGTCTAAAAGATGCAATGAGTAGCAGATCTTACGTTCTTTGTCACTTGTGGAAGGCAACTTTGTAGAATCAAAAAGCATGAATCACAACCTTGAAGTTTCAAAATAATGATTTGTTTTCTGTCTTCAGGTATGAATGCTTATTTCATATTGATTATATTTCATGTATTGACATTTATTTTCTTCTCATCCTATAGCACTGAGATACCTAGACTATACATACACTCTTACACATACACACCTACAATTCTTTCTCACACTCATTCTCTCTCNTCCTGCCTCCTTCCCTCCTTCTTCTCTTCTTCCCTCCCTCCCTCTCTTCCCCTCTCCCTCTCTTCCTCTCTCCCTCCTTCCTACCCTCCTTCCTTTCTCCCTCCCTCTTTCTTTCCCTCCCTCCTTCTCTCACACGCTCTCCCTCCTGTCTTCTCTCATACAGCTCACTCACACACACACACACACACACACACACACACTCTCAGAATTTTTACTTTGTCATAGGTATTTCAGTCTGACACATCACTACTGCTTTGCCATTCATCTGTTACAATCTATCTCTGCACAAGTTCTTGAGAAATCAGTATTCTGGGCTTTTAAAAACAACTTTTAACTTGGTTCTTTTGCACCTAATTTGTACTGTTTACAACAGCCTCAACACAAAAACTTTTTGATCACAGATATGCTAATGGATGATAACGCCTTTAAAGAGCACCTTAATGCTGCTATGCGTTGCTTTTAGAAATAAAAATTCTCTACATGCATTCTTATATTTTTCAGTTGCTAAAAACTAGTTGCTATATAGAACCAATTGTTAGTTGCTACATAGAAACAACTCCCTTGTTAAGTAATATCAGAGACAATTCCGGATAAGTCTGATGTTAGAAATGTATAAGTAGAAGGATGATTTAAGTTCTATTAAGATGGTCTGTGAATGCCATATTTATTAGTTACTTTCTATAAGAAAAAAGTTCAAGAATCTTAATTTTTTCTTTCCATTTCAAAAATAAACGATTCCTTTATTTTCTTCTTCTTAAACTAATTCTTTTTGTTCATAGAAGAATAAGAAACTTATTGGTTAATCTTTTTTAAAGCCAAAAGATTGTAGCCAAACTACATTGAGCATGAAGTTTAATTTACTGATTGCTAGTCTGGATAAACATTGGAAAGTTTATCGGAATATTTAGATGTTATTAACATTTTATGAAACCTAAGACTGCTTTTGGACTCATTGGTTTACCATTCAAATGGGTTAACTTTCATACGTGAACCAGTTTGTTTACCAGCAATAGATACTAGTGAATACAGGGGGCGTCATATGAACTTGCGGTCCCTTTTGAACCATAAGTTTAATTCCTATCTTTTTGTGAGAGAATGCCAGGTCTAGCCAAGCTGCAGATCATTGCAAACTAACAGCACAGACACAGTACCGGGGGTGAGTCTGTTGCCTTTTCTACTGCCTTGGATGAACCTGGCTGTCCTGCAGGAAACAAATGGCAGGTGACAGGACACCGAACAGCCACAGAGAGGCTACCCAGAACTCCCTCTAAGTTAGTATTTCCTCAGCACCAGAGGCAAACCAGAATATCAGGAAGTGACGGTAACAGCTAAAAATCTACACCAAAAATGAGAATTCTCAATTCTTGTGGTTTGTAGAGAGGATGTGGAAGGCTGAACTTCACTGGCATAAGCCAGTAGAACCTAATCATTCACTCAGGAGAGAACACTGTTTAAAGAACATGTAACTTCTATCTTAACTGGTCCTCTTCAGCATTGCTTTTGATATTACTCACTTTTATTGCAGCCCCAGAACCTCAGACTCCACTGCCATCAGAGTCAACAATAGGTAATAAAGCTTTTTATAATGAGTGAAAACAAAGTATCTTTAACTCTCCATGTTCAACTTTGTTCAGCTTTGGGTTTTGTGTTTTTTGTTTTTTTGTTTTTTAATATTGTTGTCTTCTCTTTTTCTTTTTTTCTTTTTTGACATGAAGTCTCACTCTTGCTGCCCAGGATAGAGTGCAGTGGTGTGATCTCGGCTCATTGCAACCTCCACCTCCCAGGTTCAAGCAATTCTCCTGCCTCAACCTCCCAAGTAGCTGGAATTGTAGGCCTGAGCCACCACGCCCAGCTAATTTTTTGTATTTTTAGTACAGACAGGATTTCGCCACGTTGGCCAGGCTGGTCTCCAACTCCTGACCTCAGGTGATCCACCCGCCTCGGCCTCCCAAAGTGCTGGGATTACAGGCATAAGCCACTATGCCCAGCCCAAAATGCCTTAATTGTCCTTCAGTTCTTTTTCCAGCCATTTTTGCCCGAAGATATACTATCAGCCTGTGCTTGATTTATGCAGAGGTTCTGAGACACCCATGAAAGCAATACTAATTTTAATTTGATGCATTCTTTATTTTGCCTCAGTTACATTTTAGGAATATGTCCTGAGCTTGTTCTAACCTGTTTATTGCCAGGGGAGGACCCTGACTTTCATAGGATATATTTATATGTTCTCTTTTGGAGGTGTTTTTCTTACTTTCAAAACTAACTTTTGCAGATTTTCTTGAAAAGCTCTATGATCTTTACAGATTTAAATACTCTGATGTGTCACTAGGAAATCCACTCAGAGAAATAGAAAAACCAACCCCAATCTTTATAGCTTCTTTTTCTTCAAAAGAGGAAAAAAATGTGTTCTGGTGCCATCTTAGCCAATTACCCATATTTTCCTTCATAACATGAACTGCTGGGTGCGTTATTACAGTCACATATTCCGAATGAGAATCATGCCTTTTTGTTCCAGTTCTCTTTCCAGACTTAACTGACTGGCTACATTTTTTGTTCACTTTGTCAAAAACACAGGAATCTACTGAAGTAGAAAATAAACTTCATATGTGACTAAAAGTTTCACCATTTATATTTGCTCAACCTAGTAATTAAAAATTAAGCATATTCCATGTTTTACATACATGTCATCATTTTTCCTTTGATCTTGATTCTTTCTTGATTTTTTTCACATTGTCTTAGGACCTGAGACACTGGGAATGAAACCTTCAACAACAACATTAGGTAATAGAGTTCTTGAGTGGATGACCTTCATTTCCTCTTTTCCTGACTGCTGGTATCTGTGTTGACAGGCACACATTAATGAATTAATACATTAATGCCCATTTGTGTGTGTAAGTGCTTTGTTCTTCAGAAAAGAAAAAAGTTAAGTCTCATAGATACAGTTTATAAACTATATCTCATTTTTTAAAAGTTGCCTTTCCTGAAATAATTACTGAATTCAAAGCCTTCTGCCTATATTGTTGATTTGTGGATATTTTAAATGCTAAGTGAAAAATTTCTGTGTTTGAATCTTAGGCCAAATATATTTTAATTTTTATTCCAAATGGCTTTATAAAGGCAACCTTTCACATGTTCCTGTTGAACATATGCCTTCAGTATTTTTGAGTGACTGTCTTCTCTAAGCTGTACAAAGTTCTGAGATTTTCCGTCTCAAAATGGAAGAACAGATCTCTTGGACAGTTTATTCATCTTTGACAAAAGTTATTCAAGACCTCATTTAACTAGGTAAATAATGATAGAAACTTGCAAAACAGATGGACACATGTCCACAGTAAATCAAAGGACTTAACTGTGCTTCCAAGATTGATGTAATATTTATCGTCAGTTTATAAATCCACGCTTCTTGTATTAACTTGCTAATTTTCTTTCTTCAGCACCACGAAAGACCAAAAGACCAGGTCGTCGCCCCCGCCCACGTCCCCGCCCTAAAACCACACCTAGTCCAGACGTGCCCACGTTCAAACCGGGTAAATGTGATATTCTTGTTCCAGTTAACGTAGGAAGTGGAATATGGCAGCTTCCGGTTTAGTAGTTGTCACCTACTTGAGCAGCTGGGCTTTAGGAACCGGTGGAATTGACTTTGATGACTGAGCATCTGTACTCACTTTCTATATGCATTCTTATATATGTACTGTTTTTTAATATATGTACTGTATAATATGTTTCTACTCTCAATCATAGTCACTGTGTACACACAGCAGAAAGCTGGCCCATTAAGTGGATTATTAAAGTAAGGCACCTTAAAATCTTATGATGTACATTCATGGCAGCTGAGGTGCAGGGAAAGCACCAAGGAGAAAGGACAATAGGAAAAGTAAAAGGGAAAATCACATTCAGAAAAAGTACATCATTTAGATAGAGGATCCTAGCTTGGGGCATAATGCTTCCCTCCTCAAGATGCCACTTCTTGAAATACTTGATGCTTTTGGTGTTTCCTTCTGTAGCTCTGGAACCTGCCACGATACAGCCGGAACCCTTGGTGCCCACAACTGGTAATTCTACTCCCCCCACCCTGGCTGCTTTGACGGGTGGTTGCTTTCGCCTTCCCCATTCTCCATTACAGGCATGACTGCAGCTCCACCACCTCGTCACCGTTTCATCCCATCCTTTTGCTCACCTTTCCTGTCTCGGTCTGAAGATCCTAAAGATAAGAGTTCTAAAACGATCCAGGGTGCTCATTTAGGGAAGGTCTGTGGGCTTGCACACAACTTCCCGGTTCTCTGCTGACATCTGTCTTCCCCATATGTGTCCTGGGGTTGAGAAAGCCATCAGCTCCCTCTCCTACGGGGACCTCTGTGCTCATCCTGCGCTGAACGGGTGGCAAAATTTTACAGCAGCATCATGGTTCGCATTTCATTGCTTTACTGATTCAACTTCTAAGACTTTCTTCCTTTTAAAAAGCTGCTTGAAATAATGGCTTCTTCAGTTTTCCTGTGTCTTTGAAAAATGTTTTTGAGTAGGTTTGGATAACGAGAGGCACCAAGATTGTTCTTGGTCTAGAGTCCAATGTAAAACTAGCGATAGTCTTTGGAACTTGAGAGCATTAAAAGTCCCAAGCTGGTTTTATTGTTTTTAGTACTAATACTGTTTGATTATAATCATTTTATTATAGTTTAACTCTTAAAATCTATCATGACTTGACTTTGGAAAATCCCAGACATTGGCAGCCATGCAACATTATTTTTCTCATGTGTAATTTTAAGTGTTTATGGATTACTTCCGATCACCTCCTAAGCAATCAGATTTCTACCTTGTTGTTTTTATACTGAAGAAGATTTTTCCATCAAAGAAATAGTACTTTGTCTGTTTTGATATTATTTATATAGGAGAAACATCTTATAACAATTTTTATTACTTTTGCCCAAAAAACACATTTACTGATCGTTTTTCCTTTCAGGAAAAACTAATTATGCTAGTGTGTAGTTAAAATGGAGACCCTTTTCACCCTTCCCATACCCAAGAAACTTTTATAGATGCATTGAATCTGTATAGTGTGTTTGCTCAGCCTACTTGCCCTCAATTTTCAGTGACAGCGTGACCCATTTTGCTAATTTTAATACCTTTTTCTTTAGCCTCAAAAGCATCCGAGAGTCCTAAAACCACACACAGACCAGATGCCCCTCAAATTCAGCCTGGTAATCGCTACTTTCAATGCCTTGATCTATAAATCAGAAAACAGTGTGTAAGTAACATTAACCTTCACATTCACAGCTCGGCTGTAACACTAATTATGGTACTCTAATTTTCTTCAGGTTCAAAACCACCAAAACAATTACTTCCTAAACCCCAGACCACAGCAGAACCAGACATGCCACCAACTAAATCCGGTAAACATAATTTCCAGTGCTTTAGCTTAACAGGATTTTCTCTGGAAGCATTGCTGAAAATGTTTACAATCTGTCATATCATATAAATCATAGAAACCCAAATACCATAATTTTGTTCATTATCTTTTCCAAGCAGCTACACTGGATGTTTTAAGTACTAAATGAACAAGTCAATATGTAGAAAACTAGTAAATTTTATACCTGATTTAGTGGCATTCCATTTTTTTAAAAGCATTTTTAGATCTATTTTCTGAATTTGTAATGAATAGAAGCCTGAGTTTTCTGCGTATGAAACATTTTTGAAACTGATTTTAGTAACCACTGTTAGGACATGTAGAAGGCTGACACTGCTATTCATTTATAGGCACAGCTGAGAAGAAGGCTTGCTGGTCAGGGATTGGCTTTCTCTAAAATACTCTGTGGACATTTTATTTTATTCTGTTTGTTTATTTAGAGACGAAGTCTCACCCTGTCACGCAGGCTGGAGTGCAGTGGTGCGATCTGAGCTCGCTGCAGCCTCTGCCTCCTGGGCCCAAGCGATTCTCCTGTCTGAGCCTCCTGAGTAGCTGGGACTACAGGCACGTTCCACTACACCTGGCTAATTTTTGTATTTTTACTAGAGACAGGGTTTCACCACGTTGGGCAAGCTGGTCTCAAACTCCTGACCTCAGGTGATCCTCCCACCTCGGCCTCCCAAAGTGCTGGGATTACGGGCATGAGCCACTGTACCCGGCCAACATTTTAAACTGTAGCTATTAACTGAGTAATTATCTAACCACATAAGAAGATATTTATATAACAGTTCTCCGACTCCAACTGTTTTGCAGTTGAAATTTTCTCCCAAGATTCCAGTTGGTATAAAATTTTAATTTGCTAAGAAGCATCTCATATAATAAATAAGTCTATCAAGAAGGCACTTTACATTAACTTAGAATATCTGTGTTCTTTGAATTAAGCACCAGTGAGCACCCAAAAGTTTACACTTCCTTGCTTTTATTACTTATATCTGTTTATTTTTTATGATGCAGTCTCTGAGTCTCTTCCATTTGAAACTGAAGCTCCCTCGATGACCATAGGTAATGATGCTTGCTTCCTTCCTAGCCCTTGTTTCTCTGAGCTTGCCCCTCTCATCTCTCTTTTCATTAGCTATAGTATGCTCAGTTGTCATTCACCATTTTTTTGCATTTTAAAAAATTGTTTACTATTTTCAACAGGGGCCTTTTTAACATCATTAGGCATTCTTACATCTGCTGCTCAGCTTGTAACACGTAAATGTTATTCTTTGCTCCACTGCCTTCAGAGACATTCAGATTGCTTACAGCACTTGATGCTGTCAAGAGCCGCAGGCACTCTGTCTATATCCATCTTTGGAACCAGAAAAGTATTTGAAACCTCTGCTTCTGTGTGTGTGCAATTTACGGATGTGGGAGGGAAGCCATGAAAAAGCTGGTTGGAGTTTGTCCTCCGTGTGTTTATGAGGCGCTCATGATGTACATAACTGTTTCCTTCTTGCAAAAGTCCTTTCTTGTTCCACATTGCTCATATGCAAATTGATATTTCTTTTGCTAACTTCTTCTCGTCATGCAAAATTCCAAGCAGAATAAGGATTCCCTGTTTTGTTTGAAGGGAATCAATTATAAATCTTGTCATCATCCTGTTGTCCTGGCTTCCTCCGTGTCTTCTATTATATATGCCTTTAGTTCTGAAGATGCTCTCAGGGGTGGCTTAAGCCAACTTCGTGCTATGACATCCTGAGCAATAAAGGAGAATCGGTCTCTCTGTAAATACTTAAAGAGTTTTTGAGGATGAGATGTTTGAATGTTACGTTTAGCCCTCTGGGTTTAGTGAAAGGTAAATGGAGATGCTAATACCAGAGAGTTACAATTCTTTATTAATTTTATATCTATGTATAATCCAGTTCAAAATATGGAAATCCTGCTTATCTAGACAAAACATTGAATTACGACCTTTTAGAACTTTTTCTTAATTATCTGTTTTCTACTTGGTTATCTTCTAATTAGCCATTTGAAATAAATGAATAAGGAGGCAGAGCAAGAAGAATATCATATTTATTACAAATAAAAGGTATAAGACTTTTCCACACCTCTCACGGATCTCTGGTAAATAGACTGATTGAGACATTTTGAAACATTTTTCTAATTCTCCTCACAATCACCACACTCAAAACAAATTAATAATGGTGGTGAAAACCTTTCCAGTACCAACGGAAGCTTTTGGAACAATTTTTTGGAGTGCTTTAAAATTACATATTGGACAACTAAGATTTTCTTGCAGCCAGGTTTTCTGTGTTATTGGAATCAACGAAAAACAGGAAAATATTTTCATTGCCTTATAGGGATGCAAAGGGTTTGGCTATTTTGTCAGATAAATGGATATGATAGTATGGGTAGTTATGGGAAAACAAATACTATTTTCCCAGAGTTCAGAAATGCATTTTAAACTGTAAAGGGTTAAGATTCATTTTCAAAATACTTTTCTTTTTCCGTACTTGTTAATCTCCATGGTTTACTGTATTGCTTTTGGTTAGTTCCCGCCACAGACGTTGAGCCTGTAACTGAGAGAACTGAGGTTCCAGTGACAACATTAGGTAATGACCTTTTATGTCTTTATGAGTTTTTTTCTGCTTATTGTCTAGTCTATTCCATCACTGTTTGGGTCAAGGGGTTTTTTTCTTTCATAAGATTTTCTCATCATCCTCTTGTCATTGAACCATATTCTTTATTTTGAGTGTATTGAAAATGCTTAGGTGGGGCGCGGTGGCTCACGCCTGTAATCCCAGCACTTTGGGAGGCCGAGGCGGGTGAATCACGAGGTCGAGAGATCGAGACCATCCTGGTCAACATGGTGAAACCCCGTCTCTACTAAAAATACAAAAATTAGCTGGGCATGGTGGCGCATGCCTATAGTCCCAGCTACTCAGGAGGCTGAGGCAGGAGAATTGCCTGAACCCAGAAGGTGGAGGTTGCGGTGAGCCGAGATCGCGCCATTGCACTCCAGCCTGGGTAACAAGAGCGAAACTCCATCTCGGAAAAAAAAAGAAAAAAAAATGCTTAAAACAAGTTACTTAGTTATAAGCCCACAGGCCACCAGTAAACAGCATCTGTGTCCCATTTTTCCCATCAGAGCCTGTGATTCTGCTCAAGTAGTGTTCCATGTTGAAGCTGAATTTCAGATACAATTAGGAATGTCTGCCTGATGAATATCAATTATAATTCTGCGGGCATCTTACTTTCTGTTGTTTTAAGATACACAAGGAATTTTTATTGCCTACCAACTATTTTAGAAAATGAGATGTGCTTACATTCATAATTTTTAATGGGATGTATGTCTGAGCCAAGTAATTTCTAAGTACACGCTCCCAAAAGCAGGTGGGCCTGGGTCCCTCTCTGATGTGATATCTGTGTGCCTATGTCTGACTTCCCTTGGTTCTGGGCCCTCCTCGAAAATCCTATACCAGCAACTAACAATAAAGCTGAAGTTTATTTTTAAAAATTACATATATTCCATCTATCTCAAAAGACCTGTCAGTAGACTAAAAATACATATTTTTGCCTGTAGATGATCAGAAGAAAATTTCAAACCAAAGAGACAAATTTCTCAAGACTTAAGAAAACTTTAGAAAACCTAGAGTCGTGTGTAATCGTTTCATTGGTTTCTGGAGTCATAAGACCTCAATAACCAGTTTCCTTTCTTTAGCTCCAAAAACACCACCACGAGCAAGAACACGTCGTCCACGTCCCAAACATAAAACCACACCACGCCCAGAGACACCGCAGACCAAACTAGGTAAATAATACGTGGTTCCTTGTCCCTGTGACATCCCGCTGGATGTGGTATGGGTGTGGCAGTTTATCATGCCACCTTATAACCCATTTGACCCTTGAGGTGAAAGCCCAAGCCCCAGAAAGCAGCCGCTAACAACGCGGTGCCCTGGCGATGCCTCTAACTTCCTCATGCTGCTTGCATGAGGACCTCCTTGGTGCCTGGGTATTTTGTTTGCTTCTCTGATGCTCAATTACATTTTTCTCTTTGTAGCCCCAGCTCGGCAAAAAATTTACCTGATTCGGTGTCTAGTTAGCATATGTAGTTCAACCCGTCACACATTTTGAACGTTTGCATCTGTGAAGAATGCTTCAGAAAAAAACAAATGACTTACCTGAGTTAAAAGAAGCTGCCCTTATGTGAGACTCTTTATAATAGGTACACAGGAGTGGGAGGAAAAGCAAATATTTATTAAATTTTACCAACTGTTAGGCCCATAGTTAATTCTTAGAGAAGTAAAACATCTGTGGGCTGATAAGTGTAATGTGGATCTTTAGGGAGAACTCCATTTCTACAAAAAATTTAAGAATAATTAGCCAGGTACGCTCACGTGTGCCTGTAGTCCCAGCTACCTGGGTGACTGAGGTGGGAGGATCACTTGAGCCCAAGAAGTTGAGACTGCAGTGAGCCACGATTGCACCCTTGCCCTCTAGCCCAGGAAGCAGAGCAAGAACTCCTCTGGTGGACCTTGAAATTTGTAGAGCCTGTAGATTTATTGGTTGCGCAGGAATCACATAAACAGAGGCAGGAATGTGTCATGCGAGGGTGACAGCGGAAGGACAGTTACTGCAAATGCCACCTGATTGTGAGAAAGGCCATGTTCTTTCAGTTGGACGGTAGTGCTGCTTTTGATGGGTCCACAAGGAGCCCTTCAAGTGCCTGACTTCGATGACCGGATTTGAGCCAACTGGCTCCAGCGTGCTCTCCTATCCTAGGGTCAGGCCTTTTCCATCCTGATAACGGAGATGCACTAACAAGTTTGATGGATTGAATGACCCTCTCTATCTGGCTCTTTGTATGCCTTTGTTTGAACAGAGGTCTTGGGCTTTTTCCAAAGTGCACTCTCAACAAAGAAGAGCATTGTCTAGTTTAGTCATTCATCACTGTATCTGCTTAAACATATGACTAATTGCATCTATCATGAACTCAGGCTTTGTTTTCCAATTTACAGGGCAACTAGTGATACTTTCACATTAACTTTTCATAATTTTTAAACATAATATCAGATGTCCTAAGATTTTTCTAAGCAGGGTTTTCTATTTTCTACTGTATTATCAGATAATATAAAAATAAGAAAAACTGGTAGCTAAGCACATTACAGATGCTAAGGTTATATCTGTTTCATAAAATCAAATAAATACGTACCCTCACTTGAGAACTTCAATGTTTGCTTTGAAGTTTGGCTGTGGAACTAATGCCGTAATGGTAAACCTCACTTTTCAGGAGAATGATGGCTTTTCTCATGCATTTTAACACTTCTTTTTAAAATTGCTTTTGATCATTTCTTGCTACAGACTTTGGACCTATTACTCCTGGGACTTCTTCAGGTAATGACTCTGTGTACTTCAGCAAGTGCTTTTTCTTACTCATTGTCAGATTTAGCTATGGTTCCATATAGGTGATGGGACCATCTTTTGCTGTTGCCTCATTAGAGTATTCATCTTAAAATACAGGAAGCTTTCTTTTTAACAGAAATATGCAAGGACTTAATTCAAGACAGCTCTCTGCTCCATAGTCCAGCTTGAAATTGTATCATGTCTGAGTCTCTGAACAATACTGTCTGTCAGAGCCAAGATCCAACTAGTTCCCCATATATTCCTTATTTAGAGCACCAACGCAGTGTCAAATGATAATATCCTGAAGTTTCTTTGTGCATCTTTCTGTCTCTCAGGTTCTATATAATTTTTATTTTTTGCTTTATTGATGTTTCAGTGAATTTTATATACTTAGTCTAGTAAATTACCAAATGAAAAGCTTGCCCAAGCCTAGTTATGAGTGAATAGTGTCGGGTTAAGCAGTGATTTGAATTAGAGACATTCTTAAGAAAATAATGATAGTTTCTGATGTTTGTTTCTTAAATGTAATTATATGTATAATTTTTGTCTCTGGAGAACTTTCAGTTATCGAAGAAAACCTATTAAGATACTGAAGGAGGAAATTTCAAGCCAAAGTGACAAAGTTCTCTGGACTCAAACTCTTAAAAAGGGAGGGTCTGACCTGCTCTGTGCTAACCAGGCTGTAATGGAGAAGTTTCTTTATACATCCCCCTTTCTATGTTTTCCTTTTTTTGGTTTCTATTTTTGTTTGTCTTTTTTTATTCTATGTACAACCATTCCCAAACATTTGTCTTTTTAATCTGCCTGTCATTTGTGTTATTTTGTCAATGTATGAGTAATATTTTAGTGAATTACGTAGCAGATAATGTGGTCGAGACTAGTAGGTTTAAAGGCTAGTAGGTCTAGTATTTAAAAACTTGTGGCTGTGTCATCCTATTTATAGTGAATGGAGCCATCAGCACCATGTTAATGCTAAATTTTCTTCCTTCAGCTCCAACAACAACAAAAAGAGCCCGTCGTCCACATCCCAAACCTAAAACCACGCCCCGTCCAGAAGTACCTCAGACTAAACTGGGTAAATACGTAGTTTCCGTTTTACAGAATCCAAGCAGCCTACCACGATTACGACTGTAAGTTCTATGTACACATCATACATTGGGTCATGCCCTGTATATCTCTTAAGAGTAACAGCTACTGGTTAGTGAGGAGAACAGGAATAGCTAGCTTAGCACCTCTTGCTTTCTTTATAGGGATCTTCTCTGTTGGTGATTATTTACTCTTCTTGCTATTTTATTTCATTCCTTGTCTTTTAAAGTTGCTCAGTATGAAGCCAGTATAGTCATTTAAGTCAACTACTTTTATTAAGTCCCTTCTCATTCTCCAAAGCCATATTAATCCATACATCAGAAGTGGGAAGGTGTTTTCCTTCCCGATCAGTTTGCACTGTAGTTGTAAACAAAACCTGTTCTTACATAACCAGGTGGAAACTAGTATGAGGCAGCATATTTATGCAAATATTTCTTCCATTTCTTCCATGGTATAAATGCGACTTCCTAGAAGCATGGCAGATACTTAGAGGAGGAAAATGTCCAGGATAATGAGAAACCAGTATAGAAATTGGATGAGTAGAGGCATGAGGAAACAGAGGCTGATAAGCAGGGAATGTGTAAAAACTGACTCACCAGGATAACTCAGAGGATAACTTGCTGATACCCTCCTCTTCAGCGATGAATTAAAGGGTACTGGGATGTCTACTCAAGAGCTTAAATTTGATCTAAGGGCCAGGCGCGGTGGCTCACGCCTGTAATCCCAGCACTTTGGGAGGCCGAGGCGGGCGGATCACGAGGTCAAGAGATCGAGACCATCCTGGCCAACATGATGAAATGCTGTCTCTACTAAAAATACAAAAATTAGCTGGGCGTGGTGGCATGCACCTGTAGTCCCAGCTACTCGGGAGGCTGAGGCAGGAGAATCGCTTGAACCCAGGAGACGGAGGTTGCAGTGAGCCAAGATCATGCCACTGCACTCCAGCCTGGTGACAGAGTGAGACTCCATCTCAAAAAAAAAAAAAAAATTGATCTAAGGGGCTTCAATGATTCCTGTTTCTGCACGGGATCATGCTTTTTCTGTTCTTAGAAGTGAAGATACCCAACCCAATGGTACCAAAACTAAAAGCTGGTTCTTCAGCTACTTATGTTAAAGTACAGCTGTATATACAAAGACTTAGTCTCTTAATGAGTGTAGTCTCAGCTTCCTTTTGGCTGTTAATGTGTGTGGTACACAAATGCTAGGCAACACCTCCCCACCACCAATAATTCCCTGCTCCTGGGGTTAACACCTTTATATAATCCACCTCCCTCTCTCCCTCCCTGTCTCTCTCTCCCTTGTGCTAGCATGGCAGACACACTCCCAGCACAGACACCTATTCAAGGGAGTGACACCCGTCACCTTTGCCTTATTTTATTGGTTATAAAGATGTCAGAGATCCAGCACACATTCAAGGGGAAGACATGACACAAATATGTTAACACCAGAGGCAGATATCACTGGGGATCGCTACGGGGGCTGTCTGCTACACTGCGCTTACTTTCAAACGTTAATGTTTGTTCTAGCTATCATTATTGACTACTACTTATAATGAGTACTCTATTGTGTTGTGTTGTGTTGTTTTTTGACTTCCACAAAAGTTCTAGTCTTTACCGTATCTTTTTCTAAGAAAGTGACTAGCCAGATTTTCTAGTGTTCATTAGAATCAAATGGTTAACCAACAACAAGATCTTACTGTTGACCTCAGTGAGGTGCTCAACAAAGTCCAAAGGCTATTGCTGACCATCTTCTGAGTCAAATGAGTACCTGATGAAGGTTTGGAGGAATAGTCAAAGGAAAAGAAATACAGCCACTTTCTTTTGAGTTACGATATTAAGAATTAGTTTTGTAGCCTTGGAAATGGTTTTCGTGGTAAGATGAATGTTCTGACATTTCGTGCATTCACAAAATCACTTTGGTTTCTTTTATTGCTTTTGATCAGTTCCTGCCACAATCCTCGAACCAGTTCTTAGAACTGAGGCTCCAGGCACAACAGTAGGTAATGGCACGTTATGTCCATCAGCATCTGCCTGTCCTGCTCATTTCCAACCCATGCATTGCCATCATAACCACAGCTTATCTCCTTTCACAAGGCTTCTGTGTCATCCTCTATCATCCAATGACTTCTTACTAGATATAAGAGTATTAAAGCAGTTTCTTGTTGGTAAGAGAGCCAAGCATGAACTTAGGGTCAGTTTATATATCTGCAATGTAATGACTTTGAATTCCCCACATCTTGCTCCCACATAACATTTTAAGCACATTCGGTGTTGCTGAGTTTTGCATTTAATCACTGGAGGGTGGAGGGGAAGGTGTCTGTCGCTGATCTAGGCTGAGTAAATCGGCCCAACCATTAGGACGGTGTGACAGTTCTTTCGCAGATCTAAATTTCTACATTTTTACTATGCATGATTTTGGGTTTTTTTTGTTTGTTTGTTTGTTTTGCCATTTGGGTAATGATGTGTTCTTGTTTCAGTAAAGATTAAAATATGTGTCTTGTTTCCCAAGTAAAGAGTAAAATATGCCCAAGGTTGGTAAATTTATAAGCATCATCACTAATATAAAATCACCTTTTACCTACCTTCATCACTGCCATAACTCAGCAAGGTTTTAGAACTTGGTTTTCATTCAGGAAACCCTGTGAGAAGCTCCTTGAAATACCGTCAATACATAAACTCGTGTTTCTATGTGATTTTTGTTCTTCAGAAAAAAACTACATGATAAAAAGAGACACCTCATTGAAATAGGGGCAAATATTTCAAACCCAAAAGAAAAATGTCCTGGAACTCAAGAAATTATAACAAGTATAATCTTATCCACAGCTTCCGGAACCAAATATGCTGTATTAATCTGAAGTTTTCTTCCCTCAGCTCCCAAAGTGCTTCAACGAACTCACCCTCCACATCCCAAACCTAAAACCACACCGAGTCCCGAAGAGCTTCAGACAGATCTGGGTGAATACGTAGGTCATACTTGAGGAATCCTAGCAGCGCACCCCAGTGGGACCCAAAGAGAATGAAGTAGCAAAGCAGGGTCAGCAGCTGATTCCACATCAGACCAGGCAGTGAGGAACAGGGCTGGGGAGGTGATGTGATGGCCAAATTCCTTATGCCTCCCTCTCAACGTCTATTTAATTTAGTTCTCATTCAGTTCTCTTCATCCTTTCAGTGTTGAATGTATGGTAAACTGAAAGAGCTAGAGAATGAGCACATGTTCATGCAAGTGGGAGATTATTTCTTGGTAACTGTAAGAGTCATTTAAGTCACAAATAAGGATCTAAGGCAGGAGTTGGCAAACGTTTTCTAAACAGAGCCAGATAGTAAATTTTCTAGGCTTTCTCGGCCATATAGTCCCTGTAGTATTTACTTCTTCTTTTTCCAACCACTTAAAAACAGAAAAATCATTCTCAAGGGAAAATTATTCTGGGGGAAGAGTAAGGGAGAAGCTCAGAAAGGCAGGAGATGTGTGGAATCCAGTCTGAAGAGGCAGCTTCTCTGAACGCTGGAGGGTGTCAGGCTTCCAGGTGTTGGTCAGAACATTTCTTTGAGGTGTCTGCACCTAAGCGAGAAGGGTTCTTGAATGCTGGCCTAAGGAGTTTGGATTTTATGTAGGAATCTTCCGCATCCCTGTGCAGTTAGGCTTTCTCTGAGTGTTACCCAGCCCTCTTGCTCTCTGAAGTACTCAAGTTGGACAAAGCTCATGGTGTTGTTCCAAAGATGAGTTTTCAGCAAAATGTGTATGGTCTATTATGCTCTGTTAGTTAGGTTCAGATCACCAAAGAATAAGAAAAACTCTTGGGGTACTCCTCATGGACCGTTATCTGAATTATCTGAATACAAAGTGAATGACCATTCCTCCTAAGAGATGAATTGGTACCCAAGGACAGAGGTGCCATTTCCTCTCAGCTCAGGAGGCTAATTGTGTTTGCTTTGTGCTCTGGACAGATATATCATGACCTGGTAAATTCTTTTTGAATGTTCTGAGTTTTTATAAATTTTTACTGTTTTGTTGATGTCGTCTTTATTATATTTGGCCAGTTCCTGCTACAATCTTTGAACCAGTTTCTCCTATAAAAGAGGCTCCAGGGACAACATTCAGTAATGCCACTTTCTGATCTTGAGCAAGTGCTTTTTCTGCTCAGTATCAAGCTTATTCCACTGTATATTGCCATTCAATTACATTTTTTGTTTTATGACGGCTGAACGTACATAAAACAAGTTGTTTCTTGCTCATAAGAGAGCTATGTGTGAATCTAGTTTGAGATCTTTTCCTGCTCTGTAGCTTAAAACTGTTTTTGTATCATTTTGTTTTTGGCTTAATCAGAGTTCTGTATTAAGGGAAATTTCATATATTCTCAGGAGGCTCTCACCTGGTCTATGCTAACCAGGCTGTAATAGAGAAGTTTCTTTATACATCCCTTATACATGTCCCTTTTTATGTTTTCCTTTTATTTGGTTTATATTTTTGTGGTTTTTAAAATCTTATATATGACCATTCCCAAACATCTACCTTTGTCATCTGCCTGTTATTTGTGTCATTTTGTTAATGTATGAGGAATATTTTTAGTGAATTATCTAGCAGATAATGTGATCAAGGCTAGTAGGTTTAAATAATGCACCCCATCCTTAGTATGTATCCAGTCCCCCTTAGTCTCCATCCTCATTTGGATGATTTATAACCTTTTTAATCCAGACAGGGCACTCTAGGAGAAAGTAACAAACATATTAATCCTAAATATCTGAATTAATAACTTTAATCTGTCAAATTTGCATATTTGCAAGTTTGTTATTGAAGTATCTTAACAGAAGAAGATTGAAGTAGGAGCAAAATTTTTGCATTAGATATATTTTCTGAAGTTCAGGAAAATCTGCGAAGCTTTAGAAAACGTAAAGAGGATCTTTTCTAAGCCTGTAACGTGCAGAAGCATACAATTTAAAATAACTAATGATTACCTTTTTCTACCTCCAAACACCTCCCAGTGAACATACCATTCACAGCACAATCTTAATACCACTCCATGTCTGGCTGCTCTTGACACTGTACCAGATAGATATAGGATCTTTGGTTTAAGGAGCCTGGGAGCCTGTCATTGATAGAAATAATAAACTCACATACCCCTTAGTGAGGGAGTCCAGAGGGCTGTTACTCCCTCATGGTTGACAAGGAGTCAGTTTAGAAGACAGTTGCAGGGTCTTCCCTTTGTGTAGTAGGAGAGGTGTTTCACTTGACGGTCTGCGGGCTAGTTGAACACAAAAACGTTTCCCACAGGAAAAGCCTAGAGAAGGAGAATAAGCCAGGGTGTTTTTGCAAATTAAAGATTTTTCTTGGAAATATAAATGTTAAGTGTTAGACTTATCACAGGGTCTTAAGGTAAAAAATGAAATTGGGTTGCAACAGAGCCAGGAAAGAGTTTGGGCCTTGAGTCACATCACAATTTGCACAAATAGGAAGGCATGAATGAACAAAGATGAAAAAATTCGATCTATGTAGAGGCGACCAGAGGAGGCAGAGATCCTCCTCCTAGGGTCAGCCAAAACATTTTTGTTGGTAATTCTGCATTTGGATGACACTGTGGAAAGTGGAAGGAGGGCTTGAATGTCTTACTTGAATGTCTTACTCTTTGAGTCTGACATTGTTCTCATGAGCATCAAAAATCTTTTTTCCACACTAGAACATGTTTCCCCTCTGCTAAGCATGGACAGTGATTTACTGGATGCCGCAGACTGAGTGGCCACCCCTTACCCAGTCCTCCTAAGTGCTTTTGTTTGCACAGAAGTGAAAAGTTCTTTCCAAAATGGAGCTCCCAGAAAGATCACCAATCATTTTTAGTGATTTGTGTGATGACCGTTTAGATATTTCATCATTTTTTCTGCAACCATAATTTGATAAACATACATAGTACATCTTCTCTTTATTCAGCATCCACTAAAGTGCAAACCAGTTTTTCACGTGCTTCTTGAGAATTATTAGAAACGTACTAAGAAAATGCCTTAAAACATCCTAAAGTCTTCCATGTTATATTCAGGTAAACACCATAACTAGAGGAATTGTTTGCCTCGTGGTGCTAAATTACAGAGACCAAAGGTGATGACCATCTCATGAGATGGTATAATTGGTATAGTTTGGCCAAGTCTAGACGAAAGAAATTTTCCATTTGAAAAAGGGCTGCCATTACAGAGCAGTATAGATTAGGTGGAAGATCAGTGTGTCTCCAGGCGTGCTTTCTCTCAAGGCCTCTCTCCTTGTCTTGCAGACGGCCACCTCCTCACCGTGTCCTCACATGTCCTTTTCTCTGTGTGTGCAGCTCATGTCTCTTTTTCATATAAGTCCATGAGTCCCGTTGAAGTGGAATCCCACCGTGATAACCTCATTAACCTTCATTATCTTTTTAAAGGTCTTACCATGAGGATTAGGGCTTTGAATATGAATTTGGTGTGTTGGGGGAGGAGTGGAAATATAATTCAGTCCTAAGCCCTTCATCCAGAGATGTTTAATTATCCTAGAGGCAGTGTTACGCAAGCATGATATGTTTTGATGTGAATACTGCAGCTCCCACGCATTTTTTACAGTTTCTTTTGTTTGTCTTATTACTTCAGTTCCTGTGACAGACCTCGAGCCTGTTACTTTTAGAACCGAGACCCCTGCAACAACCTTAGGTAACAACCCTGCCATTACCTGGCTGTTTGCTTTTGCTGCTCATTGTACGGTCGTTTCAGTCTTGTACCTATAACGTGGCGTGTCTTCCTCTGCAAAATAGCCAGTATCACTGCCTGTGACCATTCAACTATTTCTATCATCTGAAGAATCCCGAAGCCTCCTAAAAACAAGTTTCCTATTGTTTTTATGAGAGCCAGGCATGAGCTTAAAACATTTACCTGCCATGTAGCACATTGGAAATTGCCATATCATCTCATGCATCATTTAACAGAGTTCTGTGTTAACGCTGAATTTAAAACCAGTTGGGCTCTATTTCATATCTAAGCTGATCAGCAATAACAGCTACCCTTATTCTCCTTTGCACATCTGAGTTTTTAGATTAAAAAAAAATTGCCCAGTATGTTTCTTTCTTTATTGGTGCTTTAAGTAATGATATGTTTTATTACTAATTTGACAATTAGGGAATCACTAAAGTCAGAAAAACTATAAGTCTCTTCCTTAAAGTGACCCTAACTTCCTATCCCTTCTCATTGAGTACTCTGGCTCTATCATTTTTTCCCCAGCAAGGAAGTTCTGTAAATTTCTCAATACAAGTGCTAATCTTCATTCCTTGGGTGAGCAATTCTACTGTATACATGAATTTTCCTGAAAAGTACCATAAATCATAAAAGGACACATCGTTATAAAAGGAATGAAAAAGTAAAACTAAAAACAACTAAAGTTCCTGGAACTATAGGACATCTGACAAGCTTTGGAAAAACCTTTTCTCAGTGTCCGGAATCATAAGACCTAGAGTAACACAAGGCTTTTTCTTCCCTCAGCTACCAAAACATCAAAAAGAACCCGCCCTCCACGTCCCAGAATTAAAACTACGCCGAGCCCTCAGGCACCCGAGACCAAACCCGGTAAATGTGTGACCCCTCACAACCTGTCGCAGTGGGGACCGAGGCAGTGCCAGTGCTGAGCAGCAACAGCTCTTATTCTCCCTAAGCACAAGGGCACGAGGCATCAGCAGTACCATCTCCTCTGCTCAGCTTTCAAGGAGAATAATGTGTGGGTGAGACCCAACTGGTACCAGCATATCTTATTACTTCTATGTGAGACTCTTCTTTGAAACGACATAATCTATTTCTTACCATCAAATCCCATTCACATCTTAAAGGTAGAACTTCTTTAGCAGAGCCAACATGTTCAGTTCAGATAAACGTAATTGTAAGTGTCTTGCGTATTTCCATTCCCACATTGGACACTGGCGAGCATGGGTGATGTGCCAGCTTGCAGGAGAGTTATTTTACTGCAGAAAGAGTAGAGTTAAAGATGTGTTTGGCTGACACAAACATAAAGTGATGATCTTTATGTTTTATCTCAGAAAAAGATCGAGGTGGGTTGGACTTGGACCTTGGGCCCGCTGAGGATTTGGAGGAATGGAGGGAAGAATGAACTAGGGCAGAAGGACCACATGTGCTGGTCAGCTAGAACGACAGTCCAGTCTAGATGGACTCCTTCTAGATGGTCGTATATGACTGTCAATGATGGTGCGTTTGGAAGGATACTTCAAGCCAGATGAAGCAGGATTTTTGAGGACCTAATTCAGAAGCTTAGATTTGATACAGAGACATCAAAAGTATTTGATTTCCACTTATTCGGGGCTGAGGGCAGACAGATGCTCTACCGATTATTACAAACAGTGATCACGCTGTTCAGAATTAATTAGTTAAAAACCTAATAGAATTTCATGTTGACTTCTTTAAGCTACTCAAGATAGCTCAAAAGCTAAGCCTGAAACTCATCATGCCTATAGTTTGGCCGTATCATCAATGAACACACACACTCTTGCCCTCAGTTAAGAAGTAAACTTTTTTCTTTGTTTCTCTGGAAGAATTCACAGACTAGTAAAATGTGTTTGCATGTGAGTGTTCCAACTTCTCATATGTTTAAAAATCTCTTTGATTTCCATGTCGTTTTGGTCAGTTCCTGCCACTGTCCTAGAACCTGTCACTCTTAGACCTGAGGCCCCAACAACATTAGGTAACGTTGATAATACTGTGTTTTCAACAAGCTTTCTTTTGCTTATTGACAAACGTAGAGTTTCAGTTTGTGTCATGTGACAACACTGTCATTGTTGATGGCCATTCAATTATATTCTTCTTGAAATTACGAAGACTCTGAAATTAACTCTTGCTTTTAAGAGAAGCAGTCATGCATGAATCTACTTGAGGACGTTCTATTTGCCTTATGACCTGTAAGCAGTGTTTGTGATAAAGCTGTATTTCAAACATATCAGTGGGTCTCTAACTCCTACCTGGACAGATAAAGCTGTTAACTCTCATAGAGCCAAGAGGACTCATTGTGCATCTGAATTTCTAACCTTTTTTCTATTTGCATAGAAATGTATTATTTTGTCTCTAATAAGGTCATAATATGTTCTGATTTTAAAAGTTCTACAGAATATGTGCCAAAAAATGAAAGATTAAGTTGTAAATCTCAGATTTAGGAGAACAGTCCTTCATTATCCATTAAAATTTGGCAATAGTACTTAACTTTTTTGGTGCCCAGGAAGGCTACCCTATGAGATTTCCATTCAAATTTCTAATCTTTATTTCTTGAATTAAAAAGTGATTTTTGTCTTAAGGAGCTTTCTGTGATGAAATATAAGGAGGAGCAAATGTGACAAAAATCTCAAAAGGCAAATATCTATCAAGCCGTAGAAAGTCATGTTTTTACCTTGCACACCTTCCAGAATCGCAGATCATGTAGTTCTGTAGTAATCCAAGAACTTCTTCCTTCAGCTTCCAAAACATCACAACGGACACGTCGTCCACGTCTCAGAACAAAAACCACACCACGTCCTGAAGCACCTGAATCCAAACCAGGTAAACCACGTGTTCCTGGTTTAAAGAGTCCCTGCAGCCTAAGCCAGCAGGGTCTCAAGAGTAATCCCAGTGGTTGGGAGTAACCAGTACGCCCCTATGAGAGGGAAGCCACAACTCATGGTCAGCAGCAGTCCCCACTGTGTGGATGTAAGAGAAACACTGCTGGGAGGTCCACGGAGCAGCTGAATGTCTCATGCTTCCTGTGTGTAGCCTTCTCTGGCACTGGGCATTTTATTAACTTCCATTTATCTTTTAAAAATGAAACTTCTTTAGAAAAATGAGACTGACTTAGCTCAAGTCAACAAATACTAAGTGCCTTAGATAGCCACCCAATCATATTAGCACATTTGGGGCATGCATCAGATGTCAGAGCTGCATTTTGGTCCTCAAACCTGTAAGACAGTTGAGAACGGAAGCCTTTCCTTTGTAAATAAAGGATGGCATGGGACAGTATCAGTGCAAATTCAAGACTGGTTTTGGAGTTCTCCCAACAAGATGTGCTAGGTATGCAAATATTTGGAGCAGGGAAATATAAAGAAGAAATGGAACCTTGAAATCACCAAGGTTCACAGATGAGTAGAAAGGTAGGAAGAATAAAATCAGAAGGAAAAGACGCTAGTAGAGACCAACCAGAGGAGACGGTGTAACTGGGCCACTGATATGAAGGTGTATGACTTCAAAATGACAGGCAAATCCCTTGTGAATCTCACTAGGACCATGTGTACCCATGCCTAGGTCCCTGATGGAGCAGTGGAGATTGATGTGATAGACATCCACAAGCTGTTCTTTCCATACGAAGCCATGTTCTTTCTTTGCATGGAATGGAGGAATATCCAACTCAGTTTGTCATGCTAAGGCCTCTGTCTCTTTCCAAAGATGAATTCTTAGCAATACCTACATAGTCCACTTGGGATTGTTAGGTAATCAGAAAGTGAGGAATAAGGGAATAGGTACCTGATTCAGGTACAGCCAAATTTTATGAAATCAGCTGTTTACTTCTTTAGCTTAACAGTGTTTCAAGGTTGCTATATAATTCTATAAGCTGTATTATACTCATGAGACTCATTTTTGAAGAAAAGCTTTGAGTTTATGTTCCTTTAAAACAATCACTTGGTTAATTGTAATGCTTTTGGTCAGTTCCTACTGCAGAGCTCAAACCTGTGACACTCAGAACTGAGACCTGGGTGACAACACAAGGTAACAAACAGCACGTTCTGTCCTCATTAAGTGTTCTTCCTTCTCATTGTGAAACCCATCCCATCGTCAGAGCCACAGATTCTTCTGCTTTTTAAGACTACATTGTCATTCTCTGTTGTCATTCCATCATTCTTCATCCCAAAAGTATTGCACGTTCTGACTCTTAAAACAAATCGTACTTTGTTTTTAAGAGAGCTGCATGAACCTAACTCAGGCTATCTTCTGGGTATGTAACCATCTGAAATTAGTTTGTCATCCAGTGGGTTTTTTAACCAATTTTTTGTTAAAGGTGACTTTAAGATGCATTTTTCTTGATTCTATCATTATCACCATACCAGAGAGTTTCTTGATGAATCTAAAGTTTGGTTTACTTATTTCTGCCATCTCTGTAATATTCTGATTGATATTTTCATTAATTATGTGGTCTTTTTTTAGTGACTGTCAAAGAACTTATAACTGACCACCACTGCCATATTTTAGCAGTGACTCTTAACTTTTATTTGAG